AGGGCCAGGGCGGGCGCCGGCGCCGGCGGGCAGCAGGGGCAGCAGCGCCCGGGGCAGCAGCTCAGCCCGTACAGGCCGTAGGGCTGGTAGTAGCCGAGGTTCGCAGCCATCCTGCAAGGAGAGCGGCGGCGTCAGCTCCCCGGCCACCTCCCTCCATCCGCCCGGCGCCCCCGGGGCCGAGCCCCGCTCACCTGCGGATGCGCCGGCGGGCGCGCCGCCGGTGGTAGTCGCCCTTGGCGAAGTCCTCCAGGTTGGCGGGGTGGATAGCCCAGAAGTGGCCCTTACCGTTGTCGCTGCGGCCGGCTTTGACGAAGCACTCGTTGAGGGACAGGTTGTGCCGGACGCTGTTGCGCCAGCTCTTCTCCTGGGCCGAGTTTAGCGGTGAGCGAGCGCAGGGAGGGCCCGGGGGTGCCCAGCTCCCCGAGCCCGCACACCCGTTAGCCTGTGGACCCGCTTCGCTCCGCCGGGCACAGCGGGCACCGCAGAGAACACGCACGGTGCGAGCGGCAGAGCCGCAGATCAGCGGCTGAGCAACCCGACCCGGCCGAGCCCTGAACCCAACACCAGGAACGGGGCCCTGCCCCGCACCAGGCTCACCGGAGAGGCCGCTCCGGCGTCACTCTGGCTCCAGCTCTGGTAAGTCCATCCCCAACCCCAGCCACCCCTTGCCACAGAGTCCCTCAGCCCTGGACTGCGCTTCCGATCTCCCGGCTTGGACACCGCGACCGTGCCGAGGAGGAGCAGGAGGAGGAAGAAGAGGTGCTGCTCACCTTGTTCTTGAAATACGGGTAGTGATCCATGATCCACTGGTAGATATCGGAGAGCAACAGCTTCTTCTCAGGTGAGGAGAGGATGGCCGTGGAGATGAGGGCAATGTAGGACTGGGACGGCTTGTCGGGGGGCTCCGGCTGCGGCCGGGCGCCAGCGGCGCCTTGAGGGGCGCCTGGCTCCCGCTCAGCCAGCAGCGACTCGATGGTGAAGGAAGCGCCGGGCGGGCGCCGGGCGGCGGGCGCTGCCTCCGCCATGGCCCGCACGGCGGCTGCTGCGGCCCCTGCGCGGCGGCCGGCGGCTGCCGAGGCCTCTGGCCCGGCCCGATAATTAGTGCAGATTACAGGGTTTGCTAATTGTGTTTTCACAAACGGGCCGCCTTTGCAAAGCAGCCTGTTTATCTGGCAAAGCCCTGGGTTTAGCGGGATTTGCCCTTTAAGCCTAATAAATAAAATGATTAATCCGCTGGAGGTGGAGGAATTTTCGAAGCGGCACCAGCAGCAGGTTCGAGGGCGGAGGCCCCGGCCCGGCCAGGGCAGCAGGTGCCGCCTCGAGGGGCAGAGCGGGGACCCGGCGACACCAGGGGGTTGGCGCCGCAGGGGTTGGCGCCACAGCTCCCCAGTCCCAGGCCTCGCTCGGAGCACGTCCTCGCTCCGGGCTCGCTTGGACAAGGCCAGATCCAGAGCCCCCTTGAACCCCGCCATGGCTCTGGAGCAGCCCCCCTTCGCCAGCCAGAGCCGCCCCAGTTCCCCGGACACCAGGGCCCCCGCTGGCACCAGCCAGAAGGCAGCACACGGAGATGCTCTGCACTTAAGTGTAAATCTTTCTTTATTTTTTTCTTTTTTATTTAACAAACACTATAATTTGAACTTTGAAGAACGCGTACTGAGGGAAAGAAAAATAATTTTCATTTTGTTTTTTCTCTTCTCTTTACAAAAAAAAGGGAAAAAAAAAAGACAGGATATAAGAAAAAACATATGTACAGGAAGAGCTGGCCAACACAAACAGAAAGCAGTAACAGAAGCATGATGTTTCCAAACAGTGGCTTGGCCTGGAAAATTTAAAAGCAATTAAATTAGAATACAAATATTAGAAAAACTGGACTAAAGCTACCGTGAGGCCGGAGATGCAAGCCACAGAACTTTATACAGTAAAACTTAACCTTTTTGTTTGAGCTCCACCCCATTTTTTCCATCCGTGAATCCCCCTCCACCTCCTCCCATCACCCCAATTCAAACCTGAAAACATATTGCTTCCTGGCAAACAAAGGAACAAGAGAAGCAAAGCTCACGCCACACAAGCCGGCGCGGGAGCAGGGCTGGGCAGAGGGGAAGAGCGCAGAGGACGGGGGGCGGCCGCCGCTTGGGCTGCTCCCCCTGCTCTGCCCTCGGTGGCTCTAGGACAGAGAGGGAAGCGCAGGAGGAGCCCAGGGCACCGCGCGCAGCGGGAGCCCCCGCGAAGCTTGTGGAGGACGTGGAGGGGGATCCTCGAGCCCGGCAGGGCCTCCGGCTCCACAGCATCCATGGGTTGGGTTTGTGCTCTCTTCCCATCCCCTGTGGGAAAAGCCCCTCACAGGGACTTCAAGTAGTTCTAGGCGGAGCTTGACGGCTTTTTGGCTAACGGGGTTGCCCAAGGGCTGTAGCGCTGCAGGGTTTAGCAGGGCTCTTGGCGAAGGCTGGCGGTGCCGCTCTCCAGCCCGGCGCGCCGATGGGCAGAGCCGCACGCCAGCCTCCTCCCCACGCTTATTCTCATCTACCACTGAGAAAAGTCAGAGCTCCAAAGCAAAAGAGATTTCGGAGGCTTTAGTGGGACCAGCAGAGCCGCTTAGGCCAAGTTAATGCCAAAACAAACAAAAAAAATTCTCTACGACAAAGTCAAAAGGCTTGGAAACTCAAAAGCAACAACGTTTTGCCATCGAGAGCATAGCAGTAGCTTTGGGTCTGGGACCAAAGTCTTGAACAGAGAAGTGGAAAGTCCAGAGGCTGCGAACACGCGGTCACGGGGCTCCACGCATCGTCCCTCGGCTCCGTCCTCGCCCCGCGGCGCCGTGGGCAGCGCCAGCAACAGGCCGCGCGCCGCTTCGTGACCGAAAGAAACCTGAATTGGAGAGTACCGAGGTAGTTGGCTAGAAACTGAGATCCCCCCACCTGGCATTTTTCTCGAAGGCCCGAGCATCCCTTGCAGCCCTCCCTGCGCGCGCCAGGCATCCCGCTGTCCTGCAGGTCACTTCTCAGCCTTCTCAGCGACAAGGGGATGCGCAGCCCTTTTAGTCTTCAAAAAACACCAAGTTATTGCACTTCAAAAATACAACAGATTTGTGGTTCGAGCTCCCCCCCCCCAATGGCTTCTGCTCAACTAAAATGATCCACTACGCACAATTCCTACATTACCGTCAGCTTAGGTTAAAAGATTCAAAACGTTTCTTTACATGAGGTGCAGAGCCGCTCGAGCTCCTAGCTAGGACAGTGCGGTTCCAGTCGTCTCTTCCCTTTCCCCCCGTGCCCCCCCTGCCC